TCATGTTCTTTATAAATAAAGAAATATCAACCAGGGCTTACTGGACATTTTATTTTCTTAAAAAAGAAACAGCTGACTAAAGGAGATCAAGTAAAGAGCACCCTAGAAAGAGCTAGGGACTTCACCACCACTCTAGAAAACCAGAGCTGACTGCCATTCTTAGTGTGGTAGCACAGCATGCCAGTAGCCCACCACAGGCAGGTGATGTCTAAGTGCAAGACAAACCTGGTCTAAATGATGAGTTCCAGGCCAGCCAGGGCCACATAGTGAGACCCTTTCTCAAAGTGGTGATGGTGGTGGTGATGGTGATGGTGATGATGTTGATGGTGATGGTGATAGGAAGAGTAAATAACATCAGGTCTCACTTTGAGAGAGAGCTGGCTGAATGGATAGGAGAACTTTTACTCTGTAAGCATGAGGACCCGAATTTGAATCCCGGCAATCACACAGGAAGCTGGGCATGACTGTGTGTACTTGAGAGAGTTCACTGGCCAGCCAGCCTGACTGAACTGGCAAGGGAATAAGACAGAGAGTAATGGAACCTAAAAGTAAACAAACAAACAAACAAACAAATAAATGTGTATTGAAGTATATGAAAATAGAAATCAGAAAAAGACCCCCCCCCAAAAAAAAAAAGCTGCTTGGCATGGAAAAGAAAAGGAAAAGCAAAACTAGATGCCAGTATCCATTGAGTAGATGTGAACAATTAAAAACCTTGGTAACATGCAAGAGGAGGGAGCAGTATTTTTATATGCAATTAAGAGGAAGAGGATCACTGCAGCTTCTTCTTCTTCTTCTTCTTCTTCTTCTTCTTCTTCTTCTTCTTCTTCTTCTTCTTCTTCTTCTTCTTCTTCTTCTTCTTCTTCTTCTTCTGTTTTTCGAGACAGGGTTTCTCTGTGTAGCTTTGGAGCCTATCCTGGCACTCGCTCTGGAGACCAGGCTGGCCTAGAATTCACAGAGATCCACCTGCCTCTGCCTCCCGAGTGCTGGGATTAAAGGCGTGCACCACCAATGCCTGGTGTCTGCAGCTTCTTAAAAGAGTGTTGAGAAAAACTCTATAAAAAGACTTAGCCATTCAAGGACCCCTCCTTAGGGACAGCATTGGAGTTTGCAGGTGTGCTTGTTAGTACAACATTTGGAAATATGTTTTTTAAAGATGTATTTTTATCTTATGAGTGTTTTTTTTTTTTTTGTCTGCATGTATAGAAGCACATTGTGTGTGTATCTCATGCCCTCACAGTTCAGAAGAGGGTGCTGAATCCCCTGGAACTGAGTTCCAGATGGTTCTTAGTTGCCATGCTGCTTCTGGGAACTGAACCTGGATCCTTTTCAAGTGCATCCAATGCTCTTAACTGCTGACCTGTCTCTCCAGTCCCACAAGCTCCATTTCTAACAGGTGTAATCTACTAAATAGCTTATGGACACAGTGTGAGCCTCCCTGTTCTCATTGCCATTTTGCTGGTGAGGATGAAAAAGGTGGATCTGAGCCTATTAGATAGAAGACGAAACAGAACCAGCCATAGTGCACTTCTGCAGTTTAAAACCACTTAAAGTTTCAAATGTAACATGGGAATGATCGCCAGACACAATAGTGTCCCTTTAGAAATGCTGATTTCATTGTGCTGTATTAAACCATAAGTAAATAAGTGACTTCTCAAAAAGACACAAAAAGAAAACCCCCCAAAAACTAACAAATGGTGTTCTTGAGGTAGACCCTTCTAGTATATACTGAATCAGCTCATGTTGCTATTTGCAAGTGTTCCTTCTTCATTTCTACTTTGGAACTTTCCTCCAAGTGATAATGGAAACAATTTTGTAAAGACATTTGCTGTATTTATAACAAAAAAGTTGGAACTCTGTTAACTCTGTTAATTGCAGATTTTAAGAACAAATTCTGATATGTTCCATTGATAGAATACTCTGGGGCCATCTGGCTGGTGCTACACATCTGGATTTGCTGATAATGGGTTCCATTATTTACTACAGACTTGTAAAGCAGTAAAAATATAATCTTGTGCTTAAAAAAGAAAAGCTAGCCAGATGTGGTACTGCATCTCTGGTCCCATGAGGCAGAAGGATGTCTTGAGCCTCTGCAGGAATTTGAGGTCCTCTTGGGAAACACAGTAAGACCAAGTTCAGATAAAAAGCAAACCAAAACAATACACACTCGTATGAAGCCTAGAAGGATGTATCCAATACAAATGAAGATAATCTTATTTTGCTACAATTTCTGTTTTCTTATCTTTTTATTTTGAACATATCTTTTAGAATTTAGAAAAAAGTGTTATAACCACTTTATTTTGGAGGAGGGAGAATAAAAATCTGAGCAAAATTTAAGAAAAATGTAAAAGCTGTATATAGTTCATTTGAAAATCGTTTGTGTCTTCTTCCAGGTTCTGTGCACATTGCCTATGTCTTTTTGCAGATTATTTACTCTTGATATTTCCTTTCCTCCAAAAATCACACTTAGTTCATTCACTGGGAAATGCTGAACCAGATGGAAACAACTGATGGCAGTATAGTGCCCGAGAGCTTCCTGGGCTTTGGAGGCTAGGAAGGTTGTTAAGTAAGAATGTTGGTGATTTTAATAAGGCATCAAGAGTACCTACCATAGCCTGAGCTTGGGCTTATAGTCACTGCCTGGTAACGTCTGCATGATTGGGCATGTAATCAGAGCTAGCGTGCATCACGCTTGTTGTCAGGGTCATTGGTGGTGAGACAATTATGGAGCCATTATTAAGCAGGAAGGGCAGTGCCCAGAACTGTTTGGAACAAAGTCAGATGGGATAATAATGCAACAACAATTTATCTGATTTCTAAAACAAAAATAGCACTGTAAGAATAGAGGTTTAATCTGTAATTTAAAAAGAAGGCAATAATGGTTCTTCTGGTTTTGGGGAGAATTTGAATTGAAGACAGTAGGTGGCAGTGTCGCTCACACTAGGGAAAGCGGAGAGGAAGGAAGTGCATTTGAAGGTTCTTGAGGAGGGGGGATGTTTCCTTCTCCTGTGACCCTCGATTGTGCTAGGTGGCAGTAGTATCTAAAAAAAAGAACTTAAATAGAAACTCCTGATATCGGGAAGGAAAAGCTTGTTTCCATTTCTTACCTTTTTATCTCAGAGGAAAAGTACAACATGATCCTAGACCCGGTTAGTACAGTTTATGCTGTTTGAACGTGTCCTCTCTCTGGCAGCTTTCCTTTTATTTAAAAGGGCAGTAGATCATGTGTAGGAGCAGCAGCAACAAACGTCCTTGTTAAGAATGACAATGACTGTGTGATGTCTGTGTAGAGGTCGATGAAGAAAAGACCAGAACAAAAGGGGTTGATGAAATTAGAGTCTTATAACCAGTCTAAGATCACATGCGTGCTCGGGGAGTGTAATGCGCCACAAGAATCGTGATGGCAGGTGCTGAAAGCGAGCGGTAATACAATTGGCTGTCTTGTGAATTATGTCCGACGATGCCCTTTATGGCCAGAAGAAAAGGAAAACAAGTTTTTAAAATTTAATTTTGTCTGCGTATGAGTGTTTTACCTGTGTGGATGTGTCTTGGATTCCCTGGAGTCAGCACACAGGTGTGAGGTGCCATGTAGGTGCTGGGAATTGAACCTGGGTCATTTGGAAGAGTAGCCAGTGTTCTTAACCACTGGCCCAATTCTCTAGCCCCCCAGGGAAAACATTTTGTAGCTAATTTTAAGAGGTTTTTTAATTTTTTTTTTCTGAGACAGGGTTTCTCTGTGGCTTTGGAGGCTGTCCTGGAACTAGCTCTCGTAGACTAGGCTGGTCTCCAAATCACAGAGATCCTCCTGCCTCTGTCTCCCAAGTGCTCGTACTAAAGGCACGTGCCACCACTGCTTGGCAAGAACCAACTCTTAAAGGTGTTCCCTGACCCCTTTACATCTATCTGTGCTCACTTGAGTATACAAATGCACAAATCTCTCTCTCTCTCTCTCTCTCTCTCTCTCTCACCCACCCTCTTCCTCCCTCCCCCCCCCTCACACACACAGATTTTTAAAAAGCTGAATGTGGTGGCATACTCTTTTATCTCAGCACTCAGGAGGCAGAGGCAGGCAGATCTCTGATTTTGAGGCCAGCCTGGTCTACATAGTGAGTTTCAGGACAGCCAGAGCTACATACTACATAGTAAGCATAGAGACCCTGTCTCAAAAGCAAACAAACAAATATAAATGTGTGTGTGTGTGTGTGTGTGTGTGTGTGTGTGTGTGTGTGTGTGTGTGTGTGTGTGTGATATGTGGGATGTAGTTCAGTGGTTGAAAACCTATGCATCGCATATATGAGGCTCTGGATTTGAACAATTGATTTGTTTTTATATTATGTGTGTGTGTGAGGAGGAGGAAAGGAAAAGTATGAATGAGAATGGAGAGGGGGCTGTGGCATCAATATGCAAACTCTTAGTGAAGGGTTGGTGCCATAAATAAGATCCTTCTCTGTTAGAGCACTGAGCGAGACAGCTGCTCAGGACAGTGACAGTGTGGTGCCCTCCTGAGGCATTTCTTTGGGTGCATGGCTTTTAAGGCAGAACTTCCTTCCAACCAAGCAGTATGGAATTTCCTCTTGTATTCACTGCTGCTAGTCCTTAGATTAAATGGTAGCTCTCTGGATATTGCAGTTAGTTGTATCAATAATTTTACTGATGCCGCCTTTCTGGAGTGTATTCCAGTGATATAAAGGGAATTATGCTTGCGTGGTTTAGAGTGGTAACTTCTAAAGTTCACATTTTTGTGTTGTTTTGATTGGCCTTTTGCCAATAATATGCATGTTTATAACAATTGCTTTCGGTTTACTTAGGAAGCGATGCAAAAACTATAATGTTGAGTTGAATATTCTTTCGTGCTTTTAAGTTTTGTGATGAAAGTGAACAAGTCTTTGCACAGGAAAACTTATTTTGATTATCATTTAGCACCTCTTTTATATCACTTCTTTTGAACATGAAAGATCATTACGAACTTGAGAAATAGTTAATCTTTGTGGTCTTTTCAGATACTGTTAAAAAACTCCAAGACCAAAAGCATGACATGGAAAGAGAAATCAAGACACTTCACAGGAGACTTCGGGTAAGATGAATCTTCATGTGCCCTCTCACTGGGAAACACGGTTTTCCGGGATTCGCAGCATGACTTTAATCTGTAGTGGGATATTGGCCACACTGGGCTCTGGGCTGAAAGCAGGTGCCATTATTTTAAGAAAGGACTGACACTGGATTTAAGGTAGTTGGGTGTACTGGAAGTGATTTATGGGTGATAATTTTAGGGAAACGTGGTAAGGAAATGTATTACATTTTGAAAAGAAAGTTTATTAACTTTTAATTTCAAAACTCACAAATGAGGCTGTTTTTATGTGAGATTTCTGCATTCTCTGGGTTGGGTTAGCTGCCTGCACCCAAGCTGCTAAGATGTGGAGGGAGAATGTGCTAATCATAGACCTTGAGCCCTGACACAGTTGTTCTGGCTGCTTTCATGGCATTAGAAAATTGCTTTGAGGTTTGGAGGGCTCATGCAAGGCCCAGCTGTGACTCTGGGGGAAGTGAAGCCCCCGGGGAGACTTCTCTGCCCAGCCACACCCGCATCCTTCTTGTCTGTGGGAAGCGGCAGACCACTCAGTTCCTTCCAGTCTCTTTGTATGATTGTGTCTGCCTACAGCGAGTTCAGTTTTTCTTCTGGCTTCCTCTTCCTTTTCCTTTACTTTAGATTTTTTTTTTTCCTGCTAGTTTTTGATGTCAGGGTATTTATAGTTTTTCACTGTATGGTTCACATCCCATTTATATACCTCACACACCATTTATATACCTCACACACCGTTTATATACATCACACACCATTTATATATCTCACACACCATTCATATACCTCACACACACCCCATTTATATACCTCACACGCCATTTATATACCTCACACGCCATTTATATACCTCACACACCATTCATATACATCACACACCATTTATATACATCACACACCATTCATATACCTCACACCCCGTTTATATACCTCACACGCCATTTATATACCTCACACACCATTCATATACCTCACACGCCATTTATATACCTCACACGCCATTTATATACCTCACACCCCATTTATATACCTCACACCCCGTTTATATACCTCACACCCCGTTTATATACCTCACACACCATTTATATACCTCACACGCCATTTATATACCTCACACCCCATTCATATACATCACACACCATTCATATACCTCACACACCATTCATATACATCACACGCCATTTATATACCTCACACACCATTTATATACCTCACACGCCATTTATATACTTCCACACGCCATTTATATACCTCACACACCATTTATATACTTCCACACACCATTTATATACCTCACACGCCATTTATATACCTTCACATACCATTTATATACCTCACACGCCATTTATATACCTTCACATACCGTTTGTATACATTTATATACTTTCACATAACATTTATGTATCTTCTTAAGAGTTCCAGAGGTAAAGCTCTAAATTTTTGATGATATTTATTTTCATAAGACTTGCTTTGAAAATTGCATGAGGAAGAGAAGTCTAACATGTTTTCTCATTAATATTTATTGAGCACTCTGAATACTTGATGCCTCGGTAGGAAGACCAGATGGCAAATCTTTCCTTCATTAAGAACAAGTTCACTGATAAGAGCTGCTTTGTCTGTTAAAAATAGATAACAGCAACTCTTGGGATTAAAAAAAAAAAGTCACCATTCAAGAATATGACTTGCTAGGGCAAATCAATCATAAACAAATTTTACTCCTTTGCAAGTAAAAATTTAACTTTAATGTAGGAAGAATCTGCAGAGTGGCGGCAGTTTCAGGCTGATCTCCAGACCGCGGTGGTCATCGCAAATGACATCAAATCCGAAGCCCAGGAAGAGATTGGTGACCTAAAGCGGCGATTACATGAGGCCCAAGAGAAGAACGAGAAACTCACAAAGGAATTGGAAGAAATAAAGTCACGCAAGTATGTTGTGAGAAGCTGACTTTGTGTTTCAGTATAGAGCAGCTGAGCCTCAATTTAGAGCTAGACCACTGGTGCTGGTTTTCTTCTTAACCCTCACAGCCCAGCACTCTTGCTTCTCTTTAGACCGTAGGTCTGGAAGCAGACAGAGTCGGCTTCTGTCTGACCCTGCCTCCTAGTAGATGTGTGATCTCACTTAACAATCTTAACTTCCATGTGCCTCGGTTCTCTCACCTGTAGAATGAAGGCAGTATGAGCTGCATTATAGTGTTTTAATGAGTAAATGAACTAATGCTTGCAAGGTGATCAACCAGTAAACTTGAGTTACAGATTTTGGAAAAACAAATGGTTGGTACAGTGAAGTTTCTTTCCGTCACTCACTTTCAGAATTTCTGTTTTTCAATGACCTCCAAAGTAGTACCCCCGACATGTAACACAGATCATTGGAAACTCATAAATATGGCTGTGAGGTGATACAGGATATCTGGTAACCTGGGGTATGCTGAGTTCTACTATGGGACTCCATCTGAGTCAGGGAGAGAACTTATGTGTTCGATGTTATGATTTAAAAATTTGATTTTACTTCACTTTGAATAATTCTTAATTAGGCATAGGGTAAAGCAGTATATCTTTGATAGGCTTTTATTTAATTATTACTTAGTCCTAATATGGTGCTAAGTGTTAATTCATTGGCATCCTTAGGCAGAACTTGGAATGAAGCCTAATGAATCCTCACTGATATAAAGATGGCATTACTCTTTTCTCTGAATATTATTAAATAAATATCAGAAAGGCCTCATTTGATAGTTTCCCTGAGTGACTTAGTTGGTTCTGTCCATCCATCCATCATGCTGTGGATGAACTTAGGGCCTTAAACTTGACAGCAAGTACTCTATCACCAAGCCCCAAAATTCTGTTCTTGAACAGTCATTCCATTGGATCCTGGCAGCTTAGTAGTCTTTATATTTCAAAGAAATGCCTGATAAAAGAGGCAGCACTTTGGGGCTGGAGAGGAAGCTGAGTGGCTAAGAGAACTTCTGCTCTTCCCAGAAGATCCGAGTTTGGGTCCAGTACCCTTGTCAGGTGACTCCAGTCCAGGGGACATGTTGCTCTCTTCTGCCTCTGTGGACCCCTGCACACACCACACACTATTCAAAGAAAGATGAGACAGCATCTTGTACAGCAGTGGTTGTCAGAGCGATACCACCAGTCCCTGGAACCCTCCAGGACCCCTTGCACATAGTCTTCATTATAATACGAACAGGCTGTTGACTGTTTTCGCTGTGCTGATTTTTGCCTTGATAGTGAAGAGCAAATGTCAACTCGATGAACCAAGGCCTTATACCAAAGTACACTTGTAGTCACAATCTCATTACAACACACGGTAACAGGTTTTTTTTTGTTTTTTTTTTTTAAGTGCAAAACTACCTAAATGAAACAAAACATGGATTTCACTTAAAAATACCCTCTTAAAGGGGGAAAGTATTATTTTTACCAAATCTGAGTCTTGTTGTGCCCTATTTACAACCTTCCTTGTGACAAAATGGGAAGTATGAGCAGGCACTTCCACTTAAAAATGTGTTTCCAAGTGTGAGGTTGCCTTGAGGTGAACACTGTGTGACGGCTCCAGTCTGAGCTTCTGTCTTCTCATGGAACAGCTTTTTTATTTTGAGAATGATTGGGAGAGAAACTGGCTATTCAAATTCTGGTATGTGATAGGAAGTTCCTTGAAAAATGACTAGAGCCTGTCCCATTGAGGAAACCATCCGATGGTGTTTGTTGTTGTTGATGAAATGTAGGTATTCAAGGGAGCATTAGAATTTTGGAAAACTTTTTTCTGCCATTGCAAGATGAAAATTTAAAAAGTATTTTTTTTTTAATTACATTGATTTATTGTGTGTGTGCCATTCTGTACCTGTGGAAATGAGAAGGCAACTTGTGGGAGTTGATTTTCTCTTCCTACCACGTGCATCCTCAGGTTGACAACATGAGCATCAAACTCAGGTTGTCAGGCTTGGAAGTAAGCACCCTTACCTGCTGAGCCATCTCATTGGCCCTAGAGCTTTATGATGCTATCATTAGCAATATCAAATATGACTTAAATGCATTACATGATTGGAGGCATTTGAAAAACCTGTGTAATGCCAAGATTTTTCTTATGGCCAATGTATGATGTTACAGAATTTGGTGGGTAGAAGATTTCAAAGTATTTAATCGACCAGTGGTTTTTAGTGGATAGGGTAGGAGAAGTTTATTTCCGTGGCTTCATTTTCTGCATTGTAGCTGCTTTTTTCTTCTTGGGGTGCTGGTTCTCAAGCAGAGCTTCATTCATGCTCAGCAAGTGCTTCACCCTGTCCCAGTCTGCAGCTAAGCCTCCCCCCTGGCACTGCAGATTTAACCCAGGGGCTTCTGCCTGTTTAGGTGGGGTCTCAGGGCTAAGTTACTTTCCTAGACTAGCAAAAATTTAGTAACTACCCATTGTTGCATCTTAGTGTGTATCATGCAATAGCTGCAATTATCTGAAAAGGTTATTAAAATATTCTTCCCTATTCTAAACACACATTTGTCTGAGATTGGCATTTTTATATCTCAATAGATTGAACAGAAAAAGTGAGAATATAGTTGTCTTCTAAGCAATTAAATACAAATTTCATTCCTGTTTATTTATCTATTTACTTATTTTGAGACAGGGTCTGTCTATGTAAACCTGGCTGTTCTGGATGGAGCTCACTATATATAGACCAGGGTAGCCTTGGACTCGCAGAGATCCTCCTGCCTCTGTTTCCTGAGTGTGGGGATGAAAGCATGCACCACCTTGCTTGGCTAAATATGTATTTTTTAAAATGTAAGACACTTATTTTTCTTAGCAGTTTTTTGTATTTTGAAAATAATTTTTTTTATAAAATAGTCTTACATATTTATTTATTTATTTATTTATTTATTTATTTATTTATTTATTACAGGGTCTCATTGGGTAGCCACTGCTGGCCTAGAACTCCCTGTGTGGACCAGACTAGCCTGGAACTCACAGAGCTGAATAAAATATTTTATGGTCTTAATTAATTTAATGAGCTTTTCCAGTCCTTTCAGGGATTCTCTTTGGAGACTGTGGCAGTTTTATCTGGTTCTTAGGGAAGTGGAGCTTTTGGTTCCATTGCTTTGTATGTCCCTATGTAAGCACAGTGCTTTAGCTGAAACTAGCCTCAATGATGTGCTAGTGAATTCCCAGGTGCCAGAGAAGGGCTGTGCCTTCCTGGCAGCACAAGGTCAGAGGTTCCCAGTTGAGTCAGGCTGCGGCCAGTCTGCCTCCCGATTTACTGCTAATTGATTACTGATGTCCTCACCTGATGCTTAATGAAAATGGAACTTGATGGCTATTTAACTTGCTTAGCATAACCTGATATGAGCATTTCAGTATCATTTCCTGCTGTTTACCAGGCAGAGAATATTAGGTCAGGCAATTGCTGTGTTCAACTGGTACAGTTTACAAAAAACAAAAACAAACCCTAATACCTTTCAGTGCTTTTCAATCAGGAGTTTTAAAATGTGCATTTTTCTCATACATGCAAATGCCTTTATTTCACTGTTTTGTTTTTTTTTTTTTTTTTTTTTGTTAGGCAAGAGGAGGAGCGAGGCCGGGTCTACAACTACATGAATGCTGTTGAAAGAGATTTGGCAGCCTTGCGGCAAGGGATGGGATTAAGCAGAAGGTCCTCAACTTCCTCAGAGCCAACTCCCACAGTAAAAACCCTCATCAAGTCTTTCGACAGTGCATCTCAAGGTAATGGATTCCCTGTCTGGGGTTCCCAAGGCTTATGCTTCTGTTCACTTGACTTAGCCTCCTGATCTGGTTTGCTGTTCTGTATCATTTTTCTCTCAGTTTCATGAGCTTGCATATGGTGTCATATAGTGTCATCTAGTGCCATGTAGTATGTGGTGTCACGAGTCAAGGCAAGTTCGACAGGGGTCTGACTCTGCTCAGCTGCACACCCTACTTCCCATACACAGCAGTGTCTTTTCTCCCCAGATGGATCACACTCATTCCTGTGATTCTCATATCTTCTTTATGTGCAGGCTTCTGGATACATAACTCGAGATCCTAACCTTCCTCCAAATTTCTCAATTATGTGTACCCAAGTGCCTCATTGACATTGACACTTGAGTACCTCTAGCATCCTGTGTTCAGACCAGACCCCATTCTCCAGCTTCGTTGTCCCCCAAGCCTAGTGTCAGCATGGTTCTACTCAGTCACTGGAACCAGAAACCTAGGACTCTGGCTTAAACCATTTTCCTCACTGTCTGATTTCCAACATGGACTCCTTTGTTCTGTTCTCTTTCTTCATTTTTAGTGACATCAACTTTAGTTCAAGCTAGTAGCCAGTAAACTAGCCTCCTCTATTTAAAATGCTGTAATTGTCTTATGATTAGAATGAAGTTCAGATCAAGGTTCTGTAACCAGTGGGCTACTCTTCTTTTACTTTGTACAGTCCAACACCACTGCACTTCAGGGGTAGCTCTTACAGCACTCACCCTGAAGATATATCTTCCATCTTTCATAAAAACTGTAGATTGTCTGATGTGCGTGTGTGTGCATTTGTATTATTTGAGGCAGGGTCCTACTGTGCAGCCCAGGTTGGCCTAGAATACTAGCTAAGTAGCTCAGTCTAGTCTCAACTTGTTAATCCTTCTGCCTCAGCCTTTGAAGTACTGAGATTACAGGTGTTTACTGCTGTGTCTGCCTCTTATTCTGTCTCTTAAAGATACATGAATAGTGATGCTGGGACTGGAAGGGGGGGGGTTTCTCATGCATGTTACAAGTGCTCTACCACTGAGCTGTGTCCCAGCCCTCTTGTTTTCTTTCTTAGCCATGTGATTAAATAGCAAAAATGAAGTACGGGCCTAGGGAAGCAAACCATTCGTCTGGCAGGAGAAGAAATAACTGTGTCATAGTCTCAGCATCAGTCAGGCATTGTCCACAGCATACAGTTTGCAGGAAATTAGGAGCACCAGCTAATAGGCAAATCTTCCCATGGAGATGAGTAGGAAACTCCCCCTGCATCATGTTTTGCCACTGACTTTCTCATTTGCTATTTTTGTAGTACCAAATGCTGCTGCAGCTGCAATTCCTCGAACACCTCTGAGTCCAAGTCCCATGAAAACCCCTCCTGCAGCTGCTGTTTCCCCCATGCAGGTGAGTGCCCAGGGTCATCGAAGGCTCAGAAAGGTTAAATTTGCACATTAGATCCTCTTTTTCAGTCACGCACACATGTGTCTCAGGTAGGTGAATTGACTGCCTCAGAAGAGATATTTATAAGATTTGCTTCTAAAACGCCATGAGTTTCTTTAACAGAGGCAAATTATGAATTGTGATGTTCTTCTGGAAAACTGTGATATCTGAGTATGTAGAAGCTGGCATATTTTATCTTCTGTTGTCCAGCAGATCACTTCAAAGCTTACAGACTTAATGGCTAGAGACATGGCTGAGCACTTAAGAAGAGCCTATTGCTCTTCCGGAGGACCTAAGTTCAGAGCCCAGCACTCGTGTGGGTTAGCGCACAATGGTCTATAACTCCAGCTCCGGGGTGGATCTGACACCCTTTTCTGGGCCTCCTTGGACACCTGAACTCAAGTGTACAGATCTACACACTTGCACATACACAAGAGTTTTAAATATGCATCTACACAAGGCTTGAATTGAGAGAAGAGTTGTTCATTAGGGGCTATTTGTCACAGTCAAGCTCAAGGATATGACATGGCTGATCCATTACAAATGACTTTCAGAGTTTGTGTTTGTTGCCATTGTTGGAGTGCAGCCAGGAGCAAGGCAAAAGGCTGTTCTCTGTGGAGCTCATGAGACCTCTTGTCATGCCATTTCCCCAGCCGCTTTCAGTGTATGGCTTAAGTGAAACACTCTTAACATGGTGAGAGCAGCCAAAGGGAAAATGTGATAAGGGTAGCTGTGGCTGCTGTTCACACTAAAATAAGGGCTTGGGCATTTCCTTTTTGACTTCTGTATTGGGTTAATGATTGGCCCTGTGATTTGTGAGTAGACTTTTAAAGTCTGGGATAAGTGCAGTTTCTCGGCCAGTGGCTTTGCATTTTCATGTTTATGCAACATGTCATCTTAATTTAAAAGGAAAGCAAGGAAGCTCCATGTTTTGCCTGCAGAATTAATCCTTTTTAGATGTTCTCTATTAATCAGACTTTTAAAAGAAACCCTAAAGGTGCAAAGCAAGATGCCAAGTAAAACAAACCTCAAATAAGATGAGTAAGACAAAGCGTCTCCAGCATTTATCTGTTACATTTTTTGTCTAAGATGTCATTTTGTAGCATCTTAGGATTAAAAATATCTATAGCTGGAAACAAGACTCACTGTAATGCTCTTTAATACATGGTTACTCTGTCCAGTGTCTCTCAAGCCTAGCTGCACAGAACACTACATAAGAGTTTAGAATAAGATTCCTAGACATCATCTTCATGACCTAGAATCTCTTGAGACAGCACCAAGATTGAGTGTTAGTTTTTTAAAAACTCTGTGGGCAGGAAAATAATTCTTGTCATGTGGAATAGCAAGAGTTGTCACAAATGAATGGGAAGCTGGACAAAATGTAGGAACCATTGTTTTCAGATATTGCACTACTGTGGTCCCTGAACAAAATACCAACAGGTGAGGAAGTCCTGTTGTGGCTCGCATTGTTTTCCTGGTGGCAGTTTCTAAGTCGTGGTTTAGGGAGGATGAACTACCTTAGAACAGAGAAAGACAAACCAATTAGTTAGATGTGAGGACACAAGTCAACATTCAAGGAAAATGAGACCACTGGAGTTTTCAGGGCAGACTTCCTTGGAAGAGGAAGCTGCAGAGAGGGTCCAGACATTTTCGTGGGTATCCTTTTGAATCTTTGAGGCCACCGTCTGACTGTGCATGGAGTGAAGCCCTACAAGACCTGGCTGGAAGAACTCTTCAGTAGCAATTGTACACACTTTTCAGACAAACACTTCCAATAGTCTATGTGGGTAGGGAATCGTGTGACTTCATTCAGCTGCTATGAAGAAACCTCCTTGAACAGATAGGAAATAAAGTACATCCAGATAGCTCTCGGATGCTTGATACTCTAAAGACCTCAAAAGTAACTTCTAAAAGGATTAAGAGAGCTGGAAATAACTATTGTAGGCAGTCTGTAAACTCTCCAAGTGAGTTCATCTCCTGGTAGTTACTGTTTGTGTACTCTGCTCTTGTTGGCTGACTTCATGATTTATTAGTAATGAATAGAGTATAGCAGAATTAATATAATGACACTTCCCAGAAAAGGTTATAAAATGATTGGCTTCTGTTGTGAGTGCTCCTCTTAGATTCATTCCTTGCTACTCAGGTTCACTCACTCCGAGGGAACCCTCTGTAAATGCCAATGTGGTTGTTGCTTGTTCTTGTGGAGGACCATGTGAGTAAGCTTAGCAGCAGGCTCTGAGGCTCACCATCAACCATTGTGGATGAACTTTTTCAAGACCCCCTAGACCTTTCCTCCTGTCTGTCATGTGATAATCGATAGCTAGGTTTGCCTTCTCACTGAAGACCTGGAGCTAGAGTTATTCAGATAAGCTTTTGGACCCATAGAAATCATGAGATCATAAATGTTTATTGTTTAAAGTCACTGTGAATTATGTGGGTACTTTGTCATGAAGCATACATCAGTAATATAGTAGGTTAATTCCCTGCCAGAACAATCTTACAGTCATTAACAGAATCCAACAACTTTTCTATTTATATGGAAATGCAAAGGGATTTGAATAGGTAAAACATTTGAAGATTTGGAGTGCTTGATTTCAACATTTATTGTATGACACTAACATTACATTTCACTGAAGAGAGATCAGAAAGTGCATAGAGTCCTGGGGTAGACTACCTGATTTTCAGCACAAATGTCAGGATTATTTAGTATGAGGGTAGGAGTAGTCTACGTAGAATTCTGAATAACTAGGTAAGCATATGACATGCCATCAGGATTATTTAATATGAGGGTAGGCATAGATTCTGAATGTAACATACTGAAGTTGACTGGTAGGCCCAAATTATAACACTGTATATAAAGCTTATATGGTACTTGGGAATCAGGGTTTTTAAAATTTGTCCCTAAAGACAAGACAGATAAGCAAAGGCATACCATACATAGGAGAATAGAGTCACAATATTTACCTGTCTTAGAGAAGACTTGCATTTAATAACTTGAAAACAACATGTAGTAAAGGGGAAGTAATTTGTATGTCAACATAATGAAAAGATGTTCAGGAAATGGAAATGAAATTCACAGGAAGATATCAGTCCCTATATAGCCAAAATTAAAGGTTAATGATGTAAAGATGTATAGGTTTTTTTGGAGAGTGAAATAAATAGCTGAAAGTTTGCTAGATGTTTTTTTTAAAGATTTTATTATGTATACAACATTCTGCTTCCATGTATATCTGCACACCAGAAGAGGGCACCAGATCTTATAACGGATGGTTGTGAGCCACCATGTGGTTGCTGGGAATTGAACTCAGGACCTCTGGAAGAGCAGTCAGCGCTCTTAACCGCTGAGCCATCTCTCCAGCCCAAGTTTGCTAGATTTTAAATTATTATTATTATTATTGTTTTTTTCGAGACAGGGTTTCTCTGTGTAGATTTTTTTAAAAAAAAATATGACTGAGGGTTGGAGTGTGGAGGCAGAAGCTGGTGGATCTCTGTGAGTTTGAGGGCAGCCTGGTCTACATAGCAAGTTCCAGGACAGCCAGGGTTACACAATGAGATCCTGTCTTTAGGTGTGTGTGTGGAGATAGAGCAGTAGTGGTGGGTATTTCAGGCTGCTGTGTACCGACATCAGGGGATAAGGAAACACCTAATATGCTGTTGGCAGGGTGTTGAGTTATAGACCACAGCCTGTACCAGGGAGGCATAGTTGAGGTCTGTTTGGGACCAGGACAAAATAAACAAACAATAAAACCACCATAGAAACACATCCACATTTTGGTTTGGAACCTAATTTTGTGTTTAGCACATTGGCATATGGTAGTTCAAGAATCTCTTTAAACAGAGGAATTAAATTGTATTCAGAGTGCCAGAAGCTGTCAGAGTCAATGGTATGTGTAACTGTAAAAGGGCCCCAAGGAAGCATCCTTGTGGAGAAGAAGAGTCCTGTGTCTTCACTGTGTCAGTATTCTAGTTGGGATGTTTTAATTGTCAGGAAAGTGAAGAGGATGCTGGCTGTTAAAACTGCATAGGAATATATATATATGTATATTCTCATAAGTTTATTTACTTTTTAAAAATGATTTGTTTAATTCTTATTTTACATGCAATTGTATTTGGCTTGCATGTTTGTCAGTTGTGTCAGGGTTTTGGATCCCCTGGAACTGAAGTTGCAGACAGTTGTGAACTACCATGTGGTTGTAGGGAATTGAACCCAGGTCCTCTGGAAGATCAGTCAGTGCTCTTAACTGCTGAGCTCTCTCCCTAGTCCCCAAGTTTATTTTTTTTAAGAGTACTGATCACACATTGTATGTGTCTATTGCATGTTTATATCCTTATTATAGCAGAACAAAGGAATTATACATTGATTGTAACTAGATAACTACTCTTTGAAGCATGTGCTTTCTCTATGAGTCTCAGTACTAGATTTAACATAACTGCTTTTATTTCAGAGACATTCCATAAGTGGACCAATCTCAACATCCAAGCCCCTGACAGCCCTGTCAGATAAGAGATCAAACTATGGAGAAATTCCTGTACAAGGTATAGCTAACATACTCTTAACATTTCACTTGTTAATTTTTAGATTCTGTGACTAATTAGCTTATTTTCTTGGCTCTGAGATTATGTTTGCCAACCTGGCGTATGTCTTTTTCAAAAGTTTTTACTAATATGTCTTAACTATAAGTATGCAAATGAATTATTAGTAAATGAAGCTTTCATGAGAAATGTATTCTTTTGTTCTGAGGCAAAGTCTAGCTGTGTAGTCAGACTAGCCTTGAAATAAGTTCTAGGTCTTCCTGTCAATGTTCTAGAGTGTTATGGACTGAGTTCTAGGTCTTCCTGCTGGTGTTCTAGAGTGTGGTGAGTTGAGTTCTAGGTCTTCCTGCTGGTGTTCTAGAGTATGGTGAGCTGAGTTCTAGGTCTTCCTGCTGGTGTTCTAGAGTGTGGTGGTACAAGTGTGTGCCACCTTCCAGGCTGATGCCTTTAAATTATAATAGGTAATACAGAGTGCATGTCACTGCAGGAACTGTTTCATAGTTCTTCACGGAAAATGTGGTACTGCCATCCCCATTTTACAGAACGTCAGAACACATAAAAAAGTTAAGACCCAACAACATGCTTTAAAAAGCCCACACTTTAATACACAGGCATAGATAAAAGCAAAGCAAAGGAAAAGATTTATCGTGCAAAGCCAAATATGGTAGCACATGCCTGTGACCCCAGTACTCAAGTTGGCAAGGCAGGAAGACTGAGTTCTAGGCCTGCCTGGGCTTCTCAGTAAGACCCTATTTGAATATAACTAAATCTAGACTGTTCAGTGTTAATATGCTTGTTCACGTGCCTGAACTAAAGCCTGCCATGTGGATAAATGTTTTCTGCTTGCCTTGCCCTGTTCTTTTTCTCCTGCTTTCTTGAGTCCATTGACCATGGTTTTACTCCTCTACTTTAGCTCTTCTATTAACATCCTATTTTTTAACTTTAAAATTTTTGTTGGGATTTCAAAGATGACTCAGCAGTGAAGAGCACTTGCTGTCCTACAAAGGACATGGGATCTGTCCCCGGCAACTACATGGCAGCTTATAACTATCCCTAACCAGTTCCAGGGGACCCAGGGCCCTCTTCTGGCCTCTGTGGGCACATATGCAGTTGTATGTTCATACATGCAAGCAAAAGCCGCACACTCAAATAAAAATAAATCTTTTAAAGACTTGTTAGTTGTTAGAAGGTGTGTCAACCTTGGCTCTATTGACATTTGGGGCTATACAGATCTTGGTTTTAGGGGGTTGATTGTGAAGGGTAGGTTGTTCAGCAGTGCCCTTGGCCTCTGTACACTGAAGGATAAGCACCCACCAGGGCAATAGTAGTACTCACATGGTCCCTCAGGTTAGCAATTCTTTTCAGTTGAGGGAATCATGACTGACACAGATATTCTTTTTTTTCTGATTTGTCAGGATAGATAAAAAGTTTAAAAACAAAACAAAACTAGGGGAGCCTAGCTGATTTTGCATATTTTTTTTCTACCATTCCCACTAGGAATAGGTTAATCACATTTTAAATGCCCTGTCAGTTAAAAATCAGTACCATATATGAGACTGATAATTTTTTTGTCTTTTTACTTCCTCTTTTTTTTTTTTTTTTTTTTTTTTTTAAATTCCCTTTCCCTGAGAGAAGGCTCAGAGGTTAAGAGCACTGACTACTCTTCCAGGGGTCCTGAGTTCAAATCCCAGTAACCACATGGTGGCTCACAACCATCTACAATTCAATCTGGTGCCCTCCTCTGGCACATAGGCAGAATATGTAATAAATAAATCTTTTAAAAAATTGCCTTCTGTCTTGGGTAGAGGACTGGATATACTGGTGTTTTTCCTTGTCCCTTCTTTTTAAAAAGATAATTTCTCTTATATAGCCCAGCCTGGCTTCAAACTTTCAAATGATCTGTCTATCTGTCTTGTGTGTGTGTGTCACAGATTGCTTATGGAGGTCAGGGACAGCCAGCTCTTTGGAAGTTAGTCCTCTTTCCTTCTACCACGTGGTTTCTGGGGATCAAACTTAAGTATAGTCAAGCTTGTACAACCAAGCCCTTTACCCACTGAAACATCTTGCCAGTCATGCCTCAGATTTTTCTCCTATGTGCCAGGATTACAGGTATAAGCTCTACGTCTAGCCTTTTACCATTGTGTTTTTTCCAGTTCTCTGTTGAAAGTTGAACAACTGTGAAGAGACCAATGTCTTTTTTTTCTTTATGCCTTCAGATGAGCATGTCTTCCCTTGCCCTGGGTTTTTACAGCGGGAGTGGGAGTTCTCTACACATGAGCTACACTGCACTGGGGACTTAACTGCTGAGGTAGTTTGTCTTGGTATAGAATGGCTTCCACCTCTTCTAGTCAGACTTGGAGTTTGAGGCAAGAACTGGTTTTCCAGAATCCCTTTTGAAAACATTCTTTTTAAAATGCATTCTTTGAAAATACCATAAAGTTTATTTTTACCATATCCAACTCCAACTCTTCTCCTTAACTTCCTCCAGGAACCTCATCTCTCTTCCCACCTTCAGCTTTTCATATTCTTCTCCTTTGTTTTAAATTTACTATCAACTCAAGTTTGTTCTATCTATGTACTGCTGGGTCTGTGTCCATCCACTGAAGCATGGTTGATGTACCAGGAGCTACACCCTTAAAAACTTGGCTGCCTCTGAAGGAACCAGCTCCCCATTTTGGCAGCCATAACAGCCTAACACGTGCTTGCCTGACCTTGCTTTGGTCACTAGGAGGTCAGATGCCCGTCTCATGGCAAGGAACCAATCAGAAGTTAGCTGGTGGTACTATGCTTTACAGCTCTGGGTGTGCTTTATGGACAAGTGCCCAGCAATGACTCGAAGAGCATAGCCACCACCCTGGGAGGGCCTATGGGCCATAACCAGTTGACAAATCAACACAGGGCAAGCCCTCCAAGCCTGGAGGCACACCAATCCTGAACCTTTGTATACCCCTAGACACTCCCCTTACGCTGCCCTGTAAGATCTCTGTCTCGTGGTTTCTCGGGGTCTTTCCCCAGCCATCTGCTGTAATGGATGGATGAAAGGCCCGAGTTAATGGGGTTAGCTCGTTAAATAGAGTCATTGCTTTTGCATTGAAATGGGCCTCTTGGTGATTTGGGGGTTCAGAATTTGGGCACAACACCTCCATATCTATTCCCCTCCCTGGTTTTGTTTTTTAAGACAAAGTCTCTCCATAGCCCAGAATGGCCTCAAAGTTGCTATGGAGCTGAGGACTGAAATTCTTCATCATCTCTGTTTCCTAGGTGCTAGGATTATAGGAATGTACCTGCATGCCAGGCTGATAAAACCTTCATTGGCTCCCCATGCCAACAGGAGAAAGTCCTAACTCCTTAAAATGAGTTTGATCGTCTGCCTTTCTCTTGCCTGTGGAGCTTTACCTTGCTCCATTTTCCTATTGCACTTTCATCAGTGCTGCTCTGCTGGGCATTGAGCCAGGAGTATATTCCCTTCTGAATTTCCTTTTCACTTTTATTGGAAATGAATAAGCTCAATGTTTTACAAAGGAACACATGAACAAAATGAAAGTAATCTAGCAAGGCAATTTCTCTTTTTTCAAAAGGACCAGGCAGAACTTAAACAGGTCTAGTGAATGCCTCCACCAGAATAGCTGTTTCATCTGTGATATAGGTGGCATCTCATCCCATTGGTGGAAGGTCAATTTCAGTCTGATGCAATTGACTAATCAGGGTGCAAAGGAGAGAGAGGGTTCTTGTTGGACTAATTTGTGTTTGATAGAAAAAGTGTCTCACAATTCTCCCTCTGTCTTACAGTTTCTTTTTATCATCCACCTCCCTTCTGAAAGGGTAACCCTGACTGCTGCTATGGAGTTGGGGCAACGACTGATCTGGCTTCTTCTAGCTAGGTGAGCGTGGCAGTCAGGGTCTACCCTTCCAGTGGAGCAATCTAAAAGGCACTGTGAGTACATGGGTAGTTTTATTTTGGTAGCAGCCAGGTATAGGGAGAAATGAAGTTCTTGACTCTGCCTGGGAGAGGTGTGAGGAGAAGCAGCTGCAGAGTTACTGGCATCATAAGTCTTCAACAGTGAACCAGGAGAAGCCAGAGCAGAGGAGGGCTTTCAGATGTTCAAATAAAAGTCCATTAACATATTTTAGTGAGCTCTAAGAAGTATTCATCTATTGGGCTCCTCTTAATTTCCTTTGGCTTCTAAGGCTGCTCTCCAGAATACCGAATCCAGGGTTTGTTTTCAGGTTCTTTGATAGCCATTGGGTAGTGGCAGGGACCACACGCTGAAATGAGACACCGGTATGGACCTTCAGACATGCAGTATGAAAAGGACAAGTGGGATGCAGTGTCGGGACTAACTCTCATGAACATTTTCCCAGTTGTGTACAGTAGGGGTAAGATTGAATAAGGGGGCACTTTCACACAGGGAATGAGCAAGCTGGGAGCCCCCATCCATAACTGACACTCCTTGTTTTGCTTTTTGAGACGCCATCATATTGTATAGCTGGCCTGGAACTCTCTATTGAGACCAGGCTGGCTTGTATGCATCTGAAATTAAATGTGTGTGCCACCACATCTGGCTAGACACTACATGTCTATATAATTTGTTTATTACTTTCCTAATTTGCTATGTTGTTCTTTGGGAGACAAGATTTTAAGGAAATGATCCTTCAGGTTCATAATTGACTAAATTTAAAATACTGATTCCGGGACTGAAGAGTTAATTCAGTTGACAGAATGCTTTCTGTGCAACCTTGAGGTCTTCAGTTGGACCCCAGCACCCATGTGAAAACTGAGCAAGGGGTTGCACACTTTAAGCCCAGCACTGGGAGGCAGAGACAGTCAGATCCTTGGGGCTCTGTGGTAAGCTAGCCAAGCAGTGGCAAGACCCAGGGACCAGAGAGAAATCCTGTCTCAAAATCCAAGGTGAATGGCTCCTGATTTTGATCTCTGACCTCCATGTGTGCATGTACAGACAGACACACAGATGCACACACACACACACACACACACACACACACACACACACACACAAACACACATGCACATACACACACAAATAAGTAAATAGAACTGATTTCTATTTCCTATTTCTGTTCTGTGTGTTAGAATTTGTGCATGCAATGTTTTTCCTATAAAAGCTGATAGGATTTGGGACTCTGATACTTGTAAGCTGTTTACATAAAAATGAAGTGTGTTTATGATGAAATCACTAATAATTTCAATCTGTATCTGTTCTATTCTTATGTATAATATAAGCTATCCTTCCTACTTCCTGGGACTCCTGTGTAGAAAGCACTATATTTTATTTCAATCTAAATGCTCCTAAAACTATTTGGGGGCTGGGGAGATGGCTCAGTGCTTAAAAGTACATACTGCTTGTTCAGAGGATTGGAGGTTGGTTCCTAGTATCCATGTCAGGTGGCTCATGACTTCCTGTAATTCCATCTCCAAGGAACCTGTGTTCGTGTGTGTGTGTGCGTGTGTGTGTGTGTGTATACACACACACACGCACACACAATTAAAAATACAATGTATTTTTAAAAGAAAATTGTTTGGAAACAATACTATATGTCATTACTATTCACATTATGATGTTTTAAGAGAGGTAGCAAGTAAATTGGTAATTCCTTTGGTTTTCTATGTGTTTTGTGGTTTGTTGTTGTTTTGGTTTTGGTTTTTTGTCTTTGTAATTTTTGTTTTTGTTGCCTATCATTGAACCCATGCATGCTAAAGCATGCTTTATCATTGACCTGCTTTTTCAGCCACTAAATAGTTAATGTGTTTAAAAAAAGAAATGGGTGGGTATTCTTGGAAAGCAAGGCTAATAATAGTCTTTATTAAATACAGGCATTATTGTTTAGTTTTATACTAGTCGTTTATCCCTAACATATCAGATCCTGGCTAGACAGAACACATGCATTCATGTCTTTTAGCCTGAGAACAGCCTGTTGGTTTTGTAGTCCTAGATAAGACTTGTGCAGGAAGAGAGAAAGGCAGGGCCAAAAACGGTTGCCCCAGTGTTCCAGGAACTAAAGAGATCCCTAAGAAAGCTTGTGTTCAAGAACCAAGCTGAAGTGATAATAGAGGGAGCATCTGAGACTAGACTGGCCCTCAGACCAGAGCCCACAGATGGGGTAGTAAAGGCTCCCAGTCGGCATCATCCTCCTTGGGGGAGCTCCCTCCCTCATGCCCTGTTGTCCATATACCCCATGTTTTATCCAAACAGGCTCTTTTTCTTCTAATTTGTGTCTTTGTTCCTATTGTGTAGCTTAAATGCCGTTCCCAACCCCTTTCTTTGCTAGTAAGGCCCAGCTTAATAACCATTGTGTTTTTCATTCCCCTTCTCCTGCCTGAAATGAAAATGAATTTATTCTCCTTCGGTGGCTACATGGTGTGTTGTTGTTATTCTGGAGTTTTAACTATACTGTCCAGGTCTGTCTATGGATACATGTATGTGTGATGTCCCCTTTAGGCACAGAGGGGCAAGGGTTTGTATACTTTGTTTCTTAGGCCCATAGAATAAGGGGACTCATAGTTTTGATTCAGTTGCTTTGAAGATCTAAGTGGCATAAAATGATTTAGAAACAGACACATGTGTAGCACGTCTCACTGTCACCTCCAGTAACACATTGTTGACCTGGGATGTTGTACATGTCTGTGGAGATTATTTTTAATAAACACGCTGTCTGGGGGTTGCAGGGTCTTGGATTAGGAAGAGAGATGAGCTAAGCTAAGAAAGGCAAAAGTCACCTTTCTTGTTCTTTGAGCATTCATAGTGACTTTTGTGACTTTCCACCTGTGCAGAGCATCTACTAAGAACATCTTCAGCTAGCCGACCTGCTTCTCTCCCAAGAGTCCCTGCTATGGAAAGTGCCAAGACCATCTCAGGTAATGACTTTGTCTGAAAAAACTCCTAGAAGTTTTCAGTTGCCTACATTACAATAGATGACACGTGAAGGCTCATCTTCGTGAAAGTTGAGAGAGTTAGGTATGCAAAGACTGATTTGAAGAAAACATACCAAAAATTTTCTGGATGCTGAGTTGGCCAGTATGATAAAGTCACCCTACAAGGATGACATTGAAGGCTTATTGTGTTTGTTTTCTGAGCTAACTCTTGCATATTTCAGTTATTTATACTGTTTTCCCTTGTGGCTTTTTCAATTGCACCTGGAAAAGAAAACTGCTGATAACCCTGCCATGGTATTATTAATGTCCTCCACCACATGGAGTGAGCATGCGCATCTGCCTTCTTCCCGCCCACCCTCGTTCCCAGCTTACTTCAGATGAAGCTGAAGGCTTCAGCACTTATATAAAATGTTGATCTCATCTCAGAGTCTTAGCATGCCACTTTAAACACTTACTGATTTAAGACATAACAGCATACTTGAAAACAAAGAGTATCCATAAATTATGCTTAAAAACATGTAAGTTGTTATTGTAAGGTCACCTAATAGGAGAAAGCATTTGCCCCTTTTGGATCTTTTAAGGTAACACTTTACTAATGCCACCTGTGCTTGTCCTGAATTCATCCAGGCAGCCAGAGTGGGTGCAGCAGCATACCTTGTGTTCACTTGCAGAGGCTGAGGCAGGAAGGCTGCAGTGTTTTGGTTTTTGTTCTTTTGTTTTTTGTTTTTTGTTTTTTTTTTTCCCCTATGTCAGTTTTCTGTCTTACTGGAGTGTGTTTGAAACAGTAGCCTGGCCCAAAACTGTGTCTAGTTTTCTGTCTTACTGGAGTGTGTTTGAAACAGTAGCCTGGCCCAGAACTGTGTCTGGCTCTGTGAATAAGCATCTTTCCTTCTGCCCCTTTAGCAGTGTTTTACTACATTTAGAAGGGGTGTGTTTATTTTAATAATGTGAGTGTGGGTAGGGGTGAGGAGTTGCAAATGTCACTCTGGTTTTTAGCAGTGTTTGTATAGTACTCATTGTATATCTAGCAGACCCTCTGAATGCTACATGGTAACAAGGCACTTGTTCACACAGATGTGATACACTGTGTATTTCCACTGCCAATCTTTTCACAGATTTTATTTTTTTAAATTTTTTATGATAATGTCTCATTCTGTAGCCCAGGCTGACCTCATATTCATGATAGTCCTCCTGCCTCAGTTTTGAAATTATAGGGATTGTAGATATGAATTCCCAGCTGTATAAGTGTTTGAGTGAAGAGTAAATACTATCCAGTCATCAGTAAGATCAAGTATTAGTTCTTCCTCTCACAGGGTACCATTTGTTCTTTAGGAATCTTCAGAAGAAAATCTCAAAATTCAAACTAAAAAAAAATTTAAGCATGTATATCACTTTGTTCTTCTTAAAGATATGTAATTATAATTTTCAACATATTCACTACAGTTAAAAAATTATTTGATAAGGCATTCCATCCTTTTCTCTCAGAAAAATCATCTCTATATATCAAAACATAAAGTAACTCTTAATCTTACTGAGATATTTTCTTCCTCGAGTTTTCATTCCTTTTCTTTATTGAAATAGGTTTCATACAGTATACTCTGATTCTATATCATACACCATATTCTGATATTCTCCTATTCCAACTCCTCTCAGATCCTCCCTATTTCCCTGCCCATCCAAATTCACACCCTTCCTTTCTTTCCCATTAGAAAGTAAACAGAATTCAATAATGGTAATAATAAATAAAATAAAAATAAACCAGAATAGGGAGCCGGGCGTTGGTGGCACATGCCTTTAATCCCAGCACTCGGGAGGCAGAGGCAGGCGGATCTCTGTGAGTTTGAGGCCAGCCTGGTCTCCAGAGCGAATGACACAATAGGCTCCAAAGCTACACAGAGATACCCTGTCTTGAAAAAACCAACCAACCAACCAACCAAACAAAAAAACCCAGAATAGGGCAAAGCGAATAGGAAAAAAAAAAGTCAAGAAAGGTACAAGAAACAAATAGAGAACCTGAGACACACATGTTTTCACCCACAGAAACCTATTCTTAAATTAGGAAATGCATGTGTTTATTCATTGTACATGGTACCATGTTACATTGGATTTTTATACAACTATAAATTGATCACATCCCCCCATCTTCCTCCTGTTTTCCTTTAGTTGTTTGTTCCCCTAGACAGTTTTGCTTCATGTAATGTGGATGTCTTTGATTTTATGACTCGTATAGTATCTCGAAACCACAAATCAGAGAAATTATATAATTGCCTTTGTGAGACTGACTTAATTTGTGTAAATAATATAAAATGTTGTCAGATCCTCTTACCTAGAGTCCCAACTGCATCCCTTTCCCTGCAAATGGTGAAACTTTGTTCTTTTTGGCTGGGAAAAGAAATCCACTGTGTATGTACACTACAGTTGCTTTATCCCTTCCTCTGTTGTTAGACACCAAGGTTGGTTCCATAGTTCACCTAATGTGATTACTGCTGCAGTCCACATCGACATACAAATAACTATCTTGTGTTGATTTGAGCAGCCAGTAGTTCTAGCTTTAGTTTTGTGTGACACCTCCATAGTGAGCTCCACAGTGGCTGGACTAGTTTATATCCATGATGACTTTCTCACAGTGTCTCGACGAAGTAGTGAAGAAATGAAACGGGACATGTCTGCATCTGAGGGAGCATCACCAGCCTCTCTCATGGCTATGGGCACCACGTCACCACAGCTCTCCCTGTCTTCCTCTCCCACGGCATCAGTCACTCCAAGCACCCGGAGCCGAATAAGGTAGGAAATGTGTCCTGTGTCTTTCCTGGCCTTTCAGAATGAAGGATCGGCTTATAGGTCAGTGTTATCTGGGCACTCCTCTTTCTCTTTCTGTGTTATTAAGTGTTGACTAGCTATGTGTTTTTGGGTTTTTTTTTTTTTATTTGTTTTAACTAGAAATGGCCAAGTCAATGTAGATGAGGCATCCCTAGTGTGAAAACCCAAGTGCATGCCTTTTTGAGTACCAACACGAAGGCCAGAATGTTTCAGACTTTGGGATTTTCAAACTAGAGATGTTCTCTTGGTAAATTCTATGCAAATACCCCAAAATCTGGTGCTGGCTTTTGGGAAGGGTGTAGCTCGGTGGTCAAATACTTGTTTAGCATGTAAAGACTTATTACCAGTGTCATAAGTAAATAAACAAGGTTAAGAGAGAATGAAGAGAAAGAAGCAATGTGAGGAGACACAGGCCATGCCTGCAGTCTCAACATTCAGAAGATGGAGGCAGAAGGACTAAATGCGAGGCCAGCCTTAGCTACATAGTAAAACTTTGTCTGAAATAAAAAATTAAATAAAAACAAGCTGATGCCACCAGTATCAATCACACTGAGCGCCCTGGAGTGCATCCTATTACTTGTGAATGCACTTGATATAGAATCTTTGTTGCCATGTGGATGAGGAGTAGAGTTCCTCCTCTTAGCCTTGCCAGCTGTAGGTCTATGGGACCACAAACTAAAAACTGATTGTGAAATTAAATAAAAATCTATGTCTTAACGTGAAACAGCCTTAGTTTCGTGCTTGTATCTATCAAAAGTGCAATCAGTGCTGGGGTCTTACAGTGGTACTCAAATATGTCAATTTGGGTTCCTTATTTTCACAAATTAGGGAGGAACGGAAAGACCCCCTCTCAGCTCTGGCAAGGGAATACGGAGGATCTAAAAGGAACGCCTTGTTGAAGTGGTGTCAGAAGAAGACAGAAGGTTATCAGGTAACCATGTGGTTCTCTTACTCAGTGTGAGTGAGCACTGAGCAAGCACCAACTCATCACTGACTTCGCATCTTACATTCAAAATGATTCTTATACTGAGTCTTAAGTGTGCACACATTCTCAGAGTCTGTACTGAACTTGGTTGAGTGCCCCTGGGACAAGATAAGCTTATTTCTGTGAGAAGTAACCGGTTTTCTGGTACTTTTGATGAGCACCTTTACAAAGTCCTCCTTGTTCCGTGTTTGCGAGCATGAGTGTGGTGTGCATGTCCTAGCCTTTGGGAGTTGCCTTTCTCTTTCCACTGTGGGCTTCAGGCTAGTCAGGTTGCCAGGCTTTGCGCTGCAGGTACTTTTATCCACTAAGGACTTTGACTGGCCCTTACAGCACTTCTCAAGTCCAGGTTAAGTGCTTCTGATGAGATGACATCGGATTAGCATTGAAAACATACATATTTCATTTAAATTCACCCAGGCACTAGGTCTCTGTATTTTTGTTTTCACAGCGTTTCACCATTCCCATTGCAGTTTATGCTGCATTGTTTCCTTTCTGGACTATTATAGTATCCTGCCACTTCTTCCTGTCTTTCTTCCAGCGTTTTATTCAGGTTTTATTTTATGTGATGTTAAATACAGTTGTGAAGAAGAGATTTAATGCCACACAAAATAAACATATTTATTATACTGCTAAAAAATTTCTGTTTAGATTCCCAGGATCCTCATATAGGATTTAAGTTACAGAGACCTTTTCCAGATTGCAACTGATTTTCCTCACAGATGTGCAGGGGAATGCCAGAATGTCATTGGAGTTCTATATTACTGGGTTCATGTCAACAAAATGGCCAAAAACAAAAACAAAACAAACCCAAACCCAACTATTAACAGAAAACTCTTCCATGAAAGAAATAACAAAGTAGTAGAGGAATCAGTGGCCAAGATCTAGCATTAAGAAGCTGCCTGTGGACAAATTGGTTCATGACTTCAAGCAGTGATTGGCAGCTCATCTAGGCTTAGTGAGCCAAGTGTACACAGGCCATGTGAGGAAGACGCAATAGTCACTGAGCATCTGCCAGTGGTCTGCCGTTTCTAGCTCCTATTAGCTTTAGTGGAGATTAGAGGGAGGGTGTGAATAGGGAGCTATAGACACAATGTAAAGTGTGACAACTGTTCTGGGAAATTAGCTAGCTATCCTTAAAAACATTCAGAATGACCATATTACCAGACAGTTACATCTCTGGATATATAATTGGAAGAATTGAAAACAGGGATCCAAAGAGACAGCTTGGGTGTCCCCATTGTCCATAGCACCACAATTCACAGACGCTACAAGGTGGAAAGTACAAGCATCCCAGCAACCATTGGCAAATGAGTGGATGAGTAATAGGGCTCTCTGCTTACAGCAGAGTGCTGTATGTGTATAATGGAGCGATTCTGATACACATTACAATATAGATGAACCTTGAAGGCTAGAGGAACAAACCCCATGGGAAAGGACCAATTCTGTATGGTTCTGCTTTCATAAACACCCACAACAGCGGCATAAATGCACATAGACAGTAGGACCATCTTTGTGTGCAGCTAGTTATTGTTCAGTATTTACAAAATGAGATGGCAGGTGGTGATGGGAGTATAATAGTGCAAATCTCCCATACTCCTGACAGCTACAATTTAAATTGCATGTGCCTTTCATCACAATAAGCAAATTGCTTTTAAAGACAGCGAAGCATTACCCTAAGATACATTTTTTTTAAACGTTATTGTAAAAGGTATCATTTCCCTGATCCTTCCTCACTTTCTTTTTCCTTTGTATATAAGAAAGCTACTGATTAGCCGGGCGTTTGTGGTAGATGCCTTTAATCCCAGCACTTGGTAGGCAGAGGCAGGTGAATCTCTGTGAGTTCGAGGCCAGCCTGGTCTACAGAGTTCCAGGACATACTCACTGAAAGTATTTATCAGCTATAGAAGTTTGTTGGTGGAGTTTTTAGGATTATTTGTGTATAAAGTCATATCATCTGCAAATAAAGGTACTTAGACTTCTTCCTTTCCATTTGTCACCCCTTGACGTCCTTCCTTTGTCTTACTGCTCCAGCTATGACTTCATGTACTATGTCGAATAGGTTCGGAGAGAGTGGTCATCCTTGTCTTGTTTCTTATTTTAGTGGAAATGCTTGAGTTTCTCGATGTTTAGGTTGATGTTGACTGTGGGCTTGCTGTCGATTGCCTTTATTATGTTGAGTTATATCCCTTGTATCCCTAGTCTTGCAGGACTTTTATGAAAGGGTGTTGGCTTTTGTCAAAGGCCTTTTCTGCACTTCATGAAATGATCATGTGGGGTTTGTCTTTCATATATGCTTATATATGGTGTATTACGTTTCTTGATTTATGTATGTTGAATCATCCCCGCATCTCTGGGATGAAGCCAACTTGATTATGGTAGAAATTGTATTTGATGTGTTCTTGGATCCAGATTGCAAGTATTTTATTGAGAATTTTTGCATCTGTGTTCATAAAGGAGACTGATCAGTGTCTTAGGGTTTCTGTTGCTGTGAAGAGACACCATGACCACAGCAACTCTTATAAGAAAACATTGAATTGGGTGGCTTACAGTTTCAGAGATTCAGTCCATTATCATTATGATAAAACATGGTGGTGTACAAGACGACATGGTGCTGCAGAGGGAGCTGAGAATTCTACGTCTTTAATCCATTGGCAACAGAAAGTGGACTGAGATACTTACTGGCTGTGGCTTGAGCATATATGAAACCCCAAAGCCCACCTCCACAGTGACACACTTCCTCCAACAAGTCCATATTTCCCCCAGCCACACCATGATCGAATGGGAGCCAATTACATTCCAACTACCACACTGTAATTTTTTGTTAGGTCTTTGTATGGTTTTTTTGAATCAGGGTAGTTGTTGGCTTGTATAAAGAATTAGGAAGTGTTTCTTCTTTCTAATATGTGGAAAAATTTTACAAGTATTGCCATTAATTATTCTTTAAAGGGCTGGTAGAATTCTGTGCTGAATCCATATGACTTTTTGTGGGTTGTTCTTTGTTTGATTGGGAGATTTCTTAGTTAATGCTTCTCTTTCATTTTGGGTTATGGGTCTGTTTAAATTGCTTACTTGTTCTTTATTTAGATTTAGTAGATTGTATACATAAGGAAATTCATCCATTTCTTTTAGGTTTTTCAGTTTGTTAGAGATTTTTAAAGCTTGTCCTTATGAGTCTCTGAATTTCCTTAGTGTTTGTTGTAAAATGCCCCACTTCATCTCTGATTTTATTAATTTGGATCTTCTGTCTTCTTTTATTCAGTTTGGCTAAGAGTTTGTCAATCTGTTTTTACCCTCTAAGAACCACCTCTTTAATTTCATTGATTCTTTGTGGGTTTTTTGTTTGTTTGTTTGTTTGTTTGTTTTTATTTCATTGTCTTCAGCCTCAAGTTTATTTCTTGCCATCTACTGTTTTTGAACCAGTTTCCTTTTATTGGACAGTAGTTCTCAGTCTGGATTTGGAATTTCAGCCACAGCTGAGTTCTTCATGGATGGGAGGTAGGCAACCAGTTGTGCTCAGGTGTGTAGTGCCCTCCATACTAATTGACCCCTCTTCAGTGGTACTCACGTCACCACTCATGTTTGGGTTTATTGTAAGAAATTTGGTAGCTAAAAACACAGGCTGCCAGCAGCCCACGATGCACCCTTTCCAGATGTTGATGCACTTGTGTTGCTGGCTGTAACCTGTCTGAAAGGCTCCCACAGTGCCACTGGGGCTGAAATTTTCATCAGTATCCAGCTCGGCAATCCTGGTGTCCCAGCCATTGTGAATGCTGGGAACTGACCTCAGGTCCTCTACAAGAGTAGTACGTGCTCTTGACTGCTGAGCCGACTCTCCAGTCCCAGCCATAACTGTTTTAAACTAACAGACTGATCTGTTAGAGCTCTAATGTGTCACATACCACGTAAGAAGTACCAGAGCCCCTTTCCAGGCTGGCTGTGCGTATGGGTGAGCATGTGTGTCCTTAGGCACCAGCAGTGGGTTCAGGCCTTTGGTCTCTGCCGCCTCACAAATCTCTGTTCAGAAGGGGCACGGAGCTGTTACGTGACACTCAGTATGCACTGATCTCGCAGACCCCCAAATGAACCATGAATGCTTTATGTCAGAGAAACTGTCTAATCAATGCAGATGGATTCCCTAGTACTCAGATCTTCTTTGATCTTCAGATTGCTGTGCTGATCACTGTAATCTTATTAACCACCATTGCAAAATAAGCTATTGCGAATACAACTTTACTTGACAAATACGCTCGTCTCCTTTAAATTGTGCCCTGCCATTTATGAAGCACTGTAGTTTTAGAACACTAGAGTTAGCATTGGAAGGACCTGATATTCTGATTTGTTGAGGAGAGAAACCACAAGCAGCTTCTAGAGCTACGGCTTTAAGATTGACTCTTGTTTTGTGTTTTGGCAGCACTGCTTTACTCTGTTGGGGATGGAACTCAGGGCCTAGCATTCATTCTAAACCACTTGACTGCATCCTCAGTCTCCACAATTATGTTTTAAAATTTTCATTTAACTATAGGGTTTAGTCCAACAAATGTTTTTTCCTTTTAATAAAATTTATCATTTTTGAGAATTGTATACAGTTTATTTTGATCATATTCACACCAGTCCCCCACCTCCTCCCACATCTCCCCTCCCTGTTGCCTATCTACTTCCCTCTGTGTCTTCCTTGTTACAAAACAGTATCAGCAACAACAGATATCAGTGTACATCCATGCTGTTCATGTGCTCTTGGATGTGTGCCTTCTGTTGAAGCCAGGGTTGATTACCAGGGACCACAAAAAGACACAGGTTTTACTCTCTCACAACTCCTCAGCTCAGGGATGGGGTTTTGTGTTCACCTCCCCTGTCCACACTGGGATTATTTGGCTTGAGTTTGAGCAGGTCTTGTATATGTTGTCACAATTGCTGTGAGTTGTTGTGTGCTACTTTTCTCTCTGTGTCTGGAAAGCATGGCTTCCTCGCAATCGTCCACCACCTCTGGCTCT